AAAGTGTCTACAAGAGTTTAAACACGTAAAGTGTTTTATAATAAAACACTTGGGTTTACAGTGCGTGAGCGTGCTTCAATGCAACGTTCGTTGCAGGCAACTCCGTCATAGTGTACAAATAATACCATTAAACCAATTCCTTAACCCATATCCCGGTATGTTTGTGTGTTTGGAGAAGTTTCACTTCAGTAGCGTGTTGTATAATTACACGTTGTATTTTTTTAGATGCTCACTGTTAATTTAGTAGGATATAGATAATGTTTTTTTTAATTTACACTAGGTAAAAGGAAACACATTGTTAGTATATTCATTTGTACATGCATGTAGATACAATTTCCAAATACAGTGCACAAATTTCTCTTTCTTGCTCCCGTATTTTACATTTTCTAACTCCAATCTGTGGAATGTTTAATTGAATCACTGATCTTTCCTTTTTATTTCCGCCAGAATGTATGTCGTTTTAATTCTAGACAATTCTAACAAAGCACCCGGTTCTTTCCCCTTCCCTATAATTAAACAGCCTTTGCCATGTGAATGGCAGAAATACCCGACGACAATTACTGCTCAAGCATGCTATTAATTACTCTAAATTTGTTCAGTTCTCTTATTCAAATTTTCAATTCCAAGTCGTAACGTCTACTCTATTACATTATTATTGCATTTGGAAACCTAATTCATTAGATAAAATCCAAAAATTTAGATATTTACCGCTGTTGTTAGATACCGTAAAAAAATTGATTGGCTAAAAAATATGTCTAAATAAATGATATAAGGCCAAAACCAGAAAAAATTCTAAGTAACTACTAAATCTACTTTAGTTAAAGGTGTGATAATATATTAAATTTTCTGCAACTGGGTACTCCGTAATTTTTTACGTAGACACAATTAATTTTAAAATGAATCTTTTCTTTATAGTTTAAACACAAAATTTCCATATAATACTTAAATTCATAAAAGGAAAACAAGAAATAAAAAATTATAGCGAAACTTCGAGAATAAAAATCCAATCTTGAAAAACACACCGCTAATTTTTAATCACATAACTTTATGCTGGCTTTGTTCGTGGACCTTCTCAGTTGATAACAACACCGTTGTCTTTTTCATAACAGAAATTTGAAAGAAATGTCTGCGCATAAGTACGTGTCTAGATAAACGAATTAGGCATGAAGGTCTAGTCAGAGACATATTAGAGGCAGAAACAGGAGTTATGAGGGGTAGAGATAGGCCTAGATTAGATTACTGTTCGCGAATAGTTAAGGATGTGGGTTGTTCTAGTTTTAGGGAAATGCGAAGTTTAGCTCAGGATACGAAAGACTGGAGATACGTGTCCAACCAGTCTTAGGACTGACGACCTTATGATGATGATGAGCTAATCATCGACATACTGACTGTTAAAATTCAAAGTAACGGTTTTTTCCAGGATGGCGGTCAGAAAATTTTAAACTAATGTCATTCGTGTAACGTTTTGATTTATTTAAACCAAATCAGACCAAAATAAACAAAAAAATAGTTTTAGTTTTAATCGAGTTATATGACAATTAGTTTGTATTTCACTATTATATCAGACACTTTATTGCTTCTTCGCTCTTCTTATTTCGCATTGTATCGCCTCGTCCTACTCAAACTAAAACTAAAAAAAAAACTTGTCAGCCACTAATGCTGGTGGCCGGGCAGTCCCTCCGGACTACACCGAAAGGTAGGGCGAAAGGTCCTCTTCAGCCTCCTTTCAGGAATCATGTGAATGGGCGGGTAGTGGTTTAGGTAAGAGATGAGACAGAGGAAATGAAGAAGAAATATTAACTGTATGTTGAATTGCCTACACGTTACAATATTTAGTCAACGAACATATCCTTTTGAAGTTCCCACGATCCTTTTGGGATCCCTGGCATTTATAAAAGTTGTCCATTTTAATTAAATGGTGGTTATATTATAAAAATATGAGGAAAATATATATTTATTTCAAATTTAAAAAATACTGAAAATATAAAAAAGCCACAAAAAAGTGGTTAAACATTTTGGTATTTATATAGATAAAACATAATTCAAAAGGTCTTACATTAATGCATTCAAAATAATTGAATTCCGAGATCAAACTCCCCAGGAACTTCACTATAAATGAATATTGTATACCATGAAAGTGTTAAAAAACATAGAAACAATTTTGTTTCTGCAAATTCATTTTCAGTGAAAGAACTGCTCCACAACGCTTCAATTTATGACACAAATTTAAAAATCAACACAAAAGAACTTAGTTAATTTGCACCTGAAACACCCAAACCAAAATTAAAAAGGCTCCGCCGCGGCAGACGTCAAATTATGTAAAATAACAATCTCTGCGGGAGTCAGTAAAGCAACAAAATGAATAGTTCACGTTGCGAGAAAATACGTTTGTACTCTGGTATTCTTATCCAGAAAATATTTCATTTTCTCTACTTGGAAATTATGAAACGTGCGCGGTATTTCGAAATGCGCAACGTTATAACAGAAACAATACTGAAACAAGTCACACGAGATGCATAATTAACTGTTAGAGAACCTTTGTACGTGCATGCTAATACATTTTTGCTTCGGACTAATGAATTCACAGGAATAAAAATTAATTTTTGAATGAAACTAAAAAGTGGAAATTTAATGTCTTCATAATTTCAAAATTCAACTCGTCAATTCAAAGTACAAAAAATCAAGAATTTCCTTTAAAAGCTATGGTATTGTAGCGAGCACGAGTGTGTTTATGTGCGATCGGGCACAGTGTGCGTGAACGACTTTCTTCATGTGCGCCATTTTTGTAAATGTGTGTCTCGTACCTTCGTACCTGCGTTCTCGAAATCAGTTAAACAGTTCAAAAAAAAAAAGAAAGTATCGGGATGTTTCGAGAAGGCTCCCGAAAGTAAACAAAAGAGTATTTAAAGGAAGAGACGATCGCCGAGAGGAGGAAGAAATAAATTGACCGTGGCAGAAGTGAATCCAGAAATCAATTGACAGTGAAAGCAGTGAAATAAATAGCGCAGTGAACAGTGATAAATCAACAGTAGTGTAAATAAATACAATAATTCATAACCTAAGTTTTGTAATAATTTAATAGTGTTTTTGAGTTCTTTAATAATTAGTGTAAATAAATAGTTTTTATCGTTATCAGTCTTGAATTAAATTTTGTTAAAGCCACGAACATTACAGTATTATTTATGGAACATCCGGTTTTTAGATTTCCGCATACCAATGCTGACAATTGCTTAGTTACAGTAATTTCAGAAGGTTTACTGTAAATTTTAGCATCGAAACATTTTCTAAACTAAGTACAGTAGATTTCATTTATTACGACCTTGATTGTAGCGACCATTTTGCTAAAGCGACGTTAAATCTAAGTCCCTTGAATTTAAACCATACTTTTCATGTGTCTATAGCGCCTTCGGATATAACGCCGAGTTCGGATGTAGCAACTGTTTTTAATAAATCATTTGTAACAAATCCTTACTAATCGCATGCAGATATAACGACAGGAGACGGCCGCCAAAAACAGAGAGAGCTTTCTTATCTTTTGTGTACATACACACAGATGGTCACCAAGTACGGTAACCTTAATCGTTTATTTATAGATATTAGTTAAAATAGTTCAGATACAAACTGATATTCTGAGTTGCAACTGTGTTTGCCAAACTATTGAATAAGTATGACTCCTAGATGCACATTTACTGTTAAAAAAAGCGTAAATCATTTCAAAATTGTAAAATTGTGAAAACTTTACATACGTGTCTGTATCTCTATACCTTTGTCTGTAACGACTTCCGGAAATAACAACGAAATTACAGTGGTCCCTTCGTAGTCGTTATACACGTAGTCGTTATACCCAAAATCCACTGTATTGTAGAAATATACATAAGCTGTATGTAGAAATTTTTGGTGAAAAAATATTTCATTAGCGTGTCCGTAGGAAATGTTATAAATATTTGTTTACTGCAAATGTGTTACTCGTTTTCCATACTTCAAACGACTGCGTTAGCAATTAACGTTGTGAATTATTTGAACATATAAATAAAAAATTTAATTAAACACACTTTGCGAGTTTCATCTATTTATACTCTTTGAGAATGGAATGGTGTAATAAGTGAACAATTGTCAGATATAGATATAAATACGATCAAATCAATGTAGAATACAAAAATGTTTGCCTTGTGTTAGTGGAAAATGTATTTCAGTTCTTGTATCAATTATAGATACGTAATAATTTGGAAATTTTAAGGTCGAATACAGTCGAACTTCTGTAAATATAAATTGTCTTTTTAATTAGGATTTACAATTAATATTCCTCGGAATAATTAGCCGCAGCAATAATCGATGGCTCGAGTGTTTTTGTTGGTCATGGTTATGCATCGCTTTTGACCATAGTATACCATATCGGTGGTGGTTATAGGGTCATCTGTGGACAATGCAGATAAATTTATAAATACGTAATTCTCTTCATTCTCCCTCTCTTTTCCTTCTCTTTCTCCCCTTCCCCTTCCCCTTCCCCTCCCCCTTCCCTTTCCCCTTCCCCTTCCCCCTCCCCTATCCCCCCTTCCCCTCACTCCCCGATGAGCTAATCATNACCTTCTCCTTTTAAAGTTCTTAGAATCACAAAGAAATATATAATAAAAGAATAGAAAAGCGTTTTCATATTTCATCTAATTGGATTTTTAGGATTCAGTTATTTTCACCACTTACAGTCCTCTCCTCATTTGTTTTGATGTGCCATTAGGTCTAAACATAATTTATATATCTCATGAAGTAAGAAAACATAAAAAATAATATCGGAAAGTAATGACATATTTTGCAAATTCCGAAAGTTGTTCTCTTTGGATCTCCGGTAGTATCACTTAGCTGACAGTCATTCTTATCCAATGGATATTCATATCCCTGACTCTCGAACGATTAATTTTCGTGATTCAACTGCTTTTTATCTGGTCAGAAATGTAACACTTGTTTCAAATGTATTAATTAATTCTGTTATAAATATCAATTTGCAGGTTCGTCTTCCACATTAGCGATGCAGCAGGAAGTGGTGGATCGACGTCACGGAGACTACAGACTAATCCCAGGAGCCGATAATAATGATCAGGTCGAGAAGGATAAAGAGGGCAACTCTCAAACGGTCGCAGCACCTGTTGCCAATGGGAATAACAACGAAGGACAGGTGCCAAGCAGTTGGAGTACTAACGGCTCCATGATAACTAGCGAAACCAAATGGGAATCGCAGGAATTATCACTGTTGGAAACGGAGGACTCTAACAATCCAAGGAAAGATGCAAACGGCAGGTAATTTTATAAACATTTGTGGATTCTGCACCGTATGTGTAATTGGATTAAACCGGATATATTTTATTACCGTCGGGATCTCTGAATTTGTTACACTTGTGACGAAACGTGAGAAAGTCGTATTTGCACATTAACCAGTTAGTTTGCAGGTTACCAAGACTGAATTATCGCTTGCATTACTTTAAAAAAAAAATTAAAACAATCAATATGTGAATAACAGGAATATGTTAAACAGATTTAATATTTTTTTCTTAGAAACTTTCACGGCCGGTATTACATTAGTCTAATAAAGATTAACTTTGCTTAACTGCAAACGTTTCACTATACTTAGCTAATAATGTCTTCAATACAAATATTGATAAGAAATCAATTGAACATGACGATAAAAGACAAACCACCTGTTCGGTTCATTGAGTGCGTTTGATTTGGTTTTAATCCCTATCTAAAAACCTAAACTTGTAATATTTCAAACAGTTTTGTATTTACTCAAGCAACCTTGAGATGCACCAGTGTAGGTACATAATATTGACATTTTCCAATATTGATCGTTTGAGTCAGGGATCACTTAATTAAATTAAACTTTTTGAATCAGACATAGGTAGACCTATGAATGTTGACACATCTTAGATACAGCGATTTACTAATTACGAGGTCTGTTCAAAAAGTATCGCGAATTTTGTGTTATTTATTTATTCATGGATATCTATTTTGTCCACTTCAAAGTAATCCCTACCAGATATTATACACTTGTGCCAACGGTTTTTTCGATCCTCAAAGTATTTTAAAAAATCATTTTTATGATCTTGTTCAGTTCCTCCTTCGATGCCGTCTTTATCTCCTCAATCGTAGCGTAGTGTCGTCTTTTCATGGGTCTTCAGTTTCGGGAACAAGAAAAAGTCACAGGGGTCAGATCTAGGGAATACGGTAGCTGCGGAAATAATAATGTGTTAAAGGTAGTTTTTGTTCTTCTATCAATCCGGTCGCTTCTGGAGTATTACATTGCGCATGACTTCCTAATATTCCTTACTGACCGTTCTACCCCTGCAATCGAAGAAAACTATAAACAAAACCTTCACATTTGACCTAACCAATTGCGCTTTTTTTGGTATTGCTTCCGTTGGGATGATTGAACTAGCTTTGGTTTTCACGTCATAGTCATATACCTATGATTCGTTAGCAGTTACGACCCTCTAGATCAAATTTGGGTCGTCACGGGCAGAGTTCAACAGCTCCTTAATGTGATGCTGTTTTTAGTAGAAATTGAGCAATTTTGGTACAAATTTCGCGGCGACTCGTCTCATGCCCAAATCATTGGTAAAAATCGAATAGCAGGAGCCAATCGATATGTTTAGGTCCTCAGCAACTTCTCTAACGGTGATTTGACGATAGGCCAATACTATTTTCTTCACTTCATTAGTGTTTTCGACTAATGTTGACGTGTTCGGGCGTCTGACACGCTCTTCGTCGTTCACATCTTCTCTGCCCTCTGAGAACGTTGTTTCGAGCCGAGATAACTTCACCATATGTCACAGTCAATATTCGGAATGCGTCCGCTAACTTAATTTTGTTTTTCACACAAAATTTGATGGATATTTTGATAGATTTCTTGGAATAGGCAAAAATCGATGACTAGCCAAAACACGTGTAAGCAAAGTAGCTGTCAAAAATTAACTGAACATTCAACATGACCGAACTTGTGAGAAGTGAGAAGGCAAAATTCGCGACACTTTTTGAACAGACTTCGAATATTAACACACGCGAATTTTACTAATTACCTAAATGATACTGGTGATATGCTGATTGTATTACAGACTTTGTTTAACGAATAATTCTTGTCTATTTATATTTTTTTATTGCAATAGTTTGTGGCTTAATTGTATATCCACTCATCGTTAAATGTCACAATTTCACATGTACTAAAGATAATGAAGAATAAGCAAGTTATCGTGGCGTATGTTAACATTCACTAGTTGCTGACTGAAAACATCATAAAAATAACGGATACTCTTCAGCTAGTTTAATGATTGTTAACATATAGTAATTAAAAGTACATCAAATAAAATTTAATACAGTCAGTTAACCCTAATAGTTTCCATTTATCGAAGACCAAATTCTTTTCACATTATGTCGGTTGCAAAAAATATGCATTGCATTTCCTTTATTTGATTGTTAAAGAGAAAAAAAAAAGATATGTTCGTAGAGACTTTTAGTTGAATTTTTTGACGGTTTTTTTCGAATTATATTAAATTGAAAAAGGTAGTCAACAGTAGAAAATTATTGACCATATCGTTAGTGCGTTTATTTCTTCTAGAGACGATTGCCCGAAGATCTACAATTCGATGTCTGGTACATATAATTACGTCCTAGATCAGCAGTCTAGTCACGTATCGTCGAGCAGTTTAAGTTGCCACTTCATGCGGAAGCAGCCGTACGACAGCTTATCCCTGCGAACTTCCGGAAACCACGTAATGACAGGAGACAACGACGACGAAGAAGCGAAGGGCGAAGAAATAAGCGCGAAAAACTGTATCGAGTTGAAAAGCCACCGCCAATTGGACGATTTGAAGAGTCGTCGCGATAGCGTCGAATGCTCGTATTCGACCACATTAAGATGCGGCAACTTCTCGTCCACGTCCGACGTTTACTGCACGTTACCCCGTAAAATAAGTGACATTTATCGAAGGAAGTACTCGTGCCCGGCCACGGAGAGCCAGTCGCCGCTGTTACCGGGTAGCAGCCGCGAAAGTGGCGACGGGTTCGACGAAGGAGGGGTATACACGTCGGTAAGACGTTTCTCGGATCCCCACAAAAATCCCATCGGACGAGAAAGTTTCAAGTCGAGCAGTTACATGAACCTCGTAAACGTAAACAGCGAAAACACAAACACCCTCCCCATTTCCACTTACTACGATGAGAACGGGACTTATTCCATATACGACTACCATGCCAATCAGCTCAAAAAGTTCCTCGAGGAATACAGAAGTTTACAAAAGGAACTAACGAAAATGAAAGAGACTTGCGAAAATATTGGAAAGAAATGCACCACCTTAGTCAATTCTCCCAATTCGAACCACCAGCAACTACCACAACAAGACAACAGTAATAACCGCTGTGTTATTATACCCAACTATCTGTCTGACTCTTGTGACTTTGATAATGACAATATAAAGGTGCGAAACAGCTAATTATTGCAATGATTAAGTGTCTTGTATTTTGTTAATTTGTTTAGGAACTACGTGTTGCAGTTTTAATTTAAAAAAAAAGGAAACCGTGTTTGTGATATAGCCACTGAAAATTTAAATTAAACGTTTAAAGTGGCTTAAATAAAAGTACTCAAGGTGTTATTATTTTTTTTAATTTCCATTTGCCTATAAAACATGCCCATATCCTATCATAAAGCCATTAAATTATATCACAAGAATTATCGTCTAATTGAAGAGATTGAGAGTAGGTAAGTTGTCCAAAGGTAAGTAAAATATGACTTTGATATTATTGAGACTACTTTGCATTCGTGATGCTTCATTAAGAAGACTGAAAAGTAGTGGTGCAGTAATATAAATAGCTCCAAAAAGGTAGTTTTACTACCAAAAAATATAATGAGAAAACAATTTTGCGTATTTGGAGTTTGAGATATTTAGTTTTTTGTACTGTTTAATAATAATAATGGGTAGTACTTAATTGATGTTACGTGCTGAAACTGTATTATAATTCAATTAACAATTCATATTAACACAGACATATTTAAGCTAGAGCGTATGTCATACAACATAAATTAATTCATATGTTCACTCTACTTCACTACTATATCGTATTTTGTGCTATATTGGTACATGTAAATTAGTAGCATATGTTAGCAACAAGATGAAAAAGATCACATGGTGGTGCTGGCCTAAGGCCCGTCGAACACGAAAAAACGAAATGGTCTCTTGGAAAGCTATCCGCCACTTGAATTACGACAATCGAAAAAATCTCAAAAGCAAGCTCAAAAAGGTCTTACAAATTTGTCCAAAACAGACTATCTAGAAGATGTAAATGCAAACTCTTTTAATAATTTTGCAGTATCTATATTCTGTATTATATGTGGAAATTCTCGAAAAAGAAGTAAAAATTTTAACACAATGTATTAGGTGACTCGCAATAACTACATACTCACTTAATTAAAAATTAACGTAAAGTATCTCTTATTTTTCAGTTAGTTCCTCTGATATTTTTAATGACCTTTCAAACATTATTGACTTGCATTAAAATATAGCAAATTACTACAGATGGCATTCACTACGCTGTTTATAGTAATTCATAAAATGCTGTCTAAAGGCATCAAGTAGGGTTGGTCCGTATTCTGTTGGAGCTGTCTGTGATGTGCAGACGAGGTCCAATGAGATCGAAATCGCCATCCGCATCCGAAAGATTCGATAGGATACTGACCACCATGATTTTTTCGAACTCTGATTATCGTTATGAGTTTTGAAAATATAGATCTTTAACTGATTCAATCGTTTTAGTCCTTATAGGTATAAATTTCAAAATTCAAATATTAATATTATAATGTGGGCCTATTAAGCAATTGTCAATTTCAATTTAAATCTGCCTTTAAGAACCTAAACTATAATTCAAAAGGATTTAACACACTTTAATTACCCCGTTCTGGTAATGATTATCTAGTAAAAATTCTAGTGGATCTTGTAATCTTCTTAAGTTTTTTTTAAAAAGTTCTTTATCACGTGCACTGCCAATATTTTCTCGATCGTCTGAGACTGAATTAGTAAAAGGCGTAATCTTAGAAGAACGGAGAAGATTGCAAAAGCTTAAGCCAAATCCGCGACAGAGGTTTCAACTATTATGATAGAACATATGCTCGCTCGCTCGAGGTGTCTCCATATAATAGATCCCAGGGAACGGTGGAGAAAGCTGTAGAAAATCAGCAGTACAATGCTCATAAAGAAGAAACCGCACACACATCCTGACAAACGTTAAGAGTATTTTATGTGTATTATGTCGTAAAAGTGAGACATGCTGCAAGATCGAGCCATCGCCGTATTCTCTCGCCTTCACTGAAGTGGTATTTTATGTCTTAGGGGCCAGGCCCCTTATTTATTTGCCGTATTTTCCGGGAAACTGTCAGTGGCAAGCTCCAACTCGCCCTGCCACCCGGGATGAATATTGCCACCTCGACACCATACGCGATTCCATTATTATTAGTCCGAAAAACATAAACACCAACAGTTATTTCAACCCCTCCGATCTTATTTATTCCGAATTCCTCTGCTACTTTTCTCTTGCGAAACATTTACTCTCCAAAGTTACAGACATTCCTTTATATTGTAATGAATTTTCTAGAACGTCTATCTATTTAAACATGCCTCATCTAAATATATGTTATGCAATACAGACACAATTAATTAAACACTAAGTTGCATTATGCAGTTATTCATCTGACAATCTGAGTATTTATGCTGCTATAGATTTTATAGTGATTATCTGTACTATATGTACTAAATAAAACTCAGAAAGACTTTAAATGGTTTATTAATGAGGAAAATCATGTACCAAAAAATCACAACCAGCCGAACTCAAAGATCCAATCTCTTCTTTTTCTAAAAAGCTTTCGCAGGCACGCCGTCCTTGGTCCGTATCATAAAATCATAAAAATTTACCGTTAAGGTTGGATTCTCAGCTTTCGCTGGTTATACCGATACGAAACAAAGCGGTTGCTTAACTCGAATTTTACATATTTAATGATACAATGTTTATCTCGCGTACGACTTTACGACAGTACCTTTTCTTAACATTTTGATCTGAATTCGTATTCTGCATTACTACATTCTATCTTTGACAATAAATTATTTATATAACAAAACAATGAAAGAAACAGCAGAAAAAAGCGGTCACCTTAAGAGAAAGTAGATAATTTTTCTTTTTTATTCGCATTATAGTATCGATATAATGATTGTATATACATATGTAAAAGATATTCAGTTAAGTACGTGCTTTAAAACTATGAATTACTCAAACTGAATATACGTAGAAATTTTCAATTCTCTTCACTCTTATACGAAGCTGTCAATCACCCATCTCGATAAGATAAATATACTTCCTTTACTTTCTCTTGCGATGTGCCCCTTCCAATCTCTCGGAGGTAGGGAGTAAAAAGCTCATTATGATCTCGACTCTTGTACATTAAACATACTTTTTCGTACAGTACTTGCCAAATGTATTATTCAATCATGAATAGTAGTGCGTGTCGAAAACAAGCTTTAAAACTTTAATATGTCTTCAAATATAAATAAACATCTCGTTGATATTTTCAGTAGTAAATGGTACCAATATTAGCACATTCGAGCAGTGCAATTTTAGTGGATAAAATGGCAATTCTTCGGTGCAGTACTGTACGGATTATACGCTCCTCACCGGTTGAGAATTTGGCCGAGAGTTGTCTCCTTCCTTTTCTGGCCTAGTGCTGTTCTTTTCTACTTTGCGCCTGTCAAGCTAAGGGTCACATCGCTAGAGAAACTAAACGAAGTATAGCAAAGAGCACCTTACATTATATTACCAGCTGGCAATGTCTGTACGAGTCTCGTAATATCTTAGCCTACTCAGACAGTGGATCGTTCCCTTCCAAACCCTAACCCTGCTTTCACACAGACGGTTTTCTAACGGCAACCGTGCCGTGCCGTGCCGTAATTTCATTTTGCTTTGCGTTCACACTGCACACGGTTTTTCACGGTTTAGTTTTGTTTTGATACATGACCAAAATGGACGAAAGAAAAAAACGCATGTTGTTACTAATGATATGGCATAATCGCAGAAAAACACAAAAAACAAGAAGATTTTGGATTCATCCACTACTTGAAAACAGACAATTGATGGGTGAATTTGTAACATTATTTCATGAGCTACGAGAGGATAGCTCCAAATTTTTTAATTATTTTCGAATGTCCATTAGGAGTTTCGATGAATTATGCGTAAAATTACAAGATGATTTAAAAATTAGTAATAGTCATCAAAATTAATTGACAATGATTACGCTTTATTTAATATCAAGAGGGAAATAAAAAAAAATTGAGTATCAATCAGAAAACAATCTATCAGAAATAGAAAAAGGTTTTCCTTTCTGTTATGTAACGCTTTGATACCAAAAGAAATCAAATTATTAAAGTTTTCACTGTCTAGCTTATAAGAGATAAAAGAAGATTGTAATATATATCTGTACAAAACCTTGTTTCTTCAAAAATATCCGAGAAAATTTAAATGCTCATATTCAATATATCCTTTGTATTATCTTCCCCAATGATATATTATTAAGAAAGGAGGTAAATTTTTCTTAATTATATAATCTCTACCGATGCTTGGAGTAAGATTTTTACCTTGATAAAGACACTGTTCCAAATATTTTCACAGAGAATAATAATAATAGAAAGACAGATACAAAAGAATTCGAGTAGAAATATTTACAAAAGGGTGTAATATAATGTTTAGTCAAATATATGTTTTAAATTAAATATAGCGGTGTTATTATTCGCCACACTATATAATTTCTTCTGTTAACTGCACAATTCAGAGAGAAAAACGATCCTGAAAACAATTTCTGCCGTGTGAACACACGGCACGTGTGAATACTTCTATACACTTGCTTGTCTCATTGTTGCGTGCACGGCCACGGCGCCGTGCCGTTGCAGTCCCCATGCCGTGCCGCGACGGCAGCCGTGCACGGCTACGGCAGCAAACCGTGCTGTGTGAACGCTTGCATATAAACCAATGTATTACTATTATACACGGCACGGTTGCCGTGCACGGCCACGGCAAAAACCGTCTGTGTGAAAGCAGGGTTAACTGTCTATCTGAACCACCTTCTTCGAAAAAAAATTATCAACCTGCTGTTAATTGCTCATTTGTAAGGTTTCCCAACCGTATATCCCTTACTATACATTCCTTTAAGGATCAGTAATAATATTCCATAAGAGAAGATCAGTTCTTCTCTATAACAAAATTGAAAAGTTTCCCGAATCCGCTCTGGTATTTCATGTACTGCGATACTTAGTTTGTCAGTTTTGACATCTGCCTCGATCTAGATATCACCGATTCGGTTCAGACATGAGCAACATATCATATCATGTTCAACCCACCTTTATATTGTTAGCGCATGCATTCCGCCCAGTACCTCTTAAAGTTACAGACAACGTCTCATTTTGAGGAGGTCCTTCTCACCGTATATCAGACTTTTTCTTCTTTTGTACTCCTTGCTGCTACAGATAATAATCTGGGCAGTGG